GGCTGAAATTAGCCATGATGGCAATTTCTACTGGGAAAACAACAGGAAATGAAATCAGCAACTTTTTAAGTGCAAGTTGAAGGGTTTCTGTTGAAGCCAACAATGTTGTCATTTCCAGTAACTCTCCAAAACCCCCCAAAAAGGACCAGGAGTGAAAATTTAGACACCCCTACCAAAAACATCTTGTCAAAGTCTGGTGGTGACATGAATGTCAAATTTTGGATTTCTGATTCAAGTCCAATGTCACTCTCTGGCCTCCACATCCAAAGAAAATACCTTGCCACGGCCAGGTGTATCCTATTGTTTCAGAGCTCACTTAACACTGAGTCAGTGTTACAGCCTAAAAGCAGCAAAATCCCCAAGTTCCTTGATCAAGAAACTTGACATTTAGTTTATGTATGAGCTCAGGTATACCCTTTTCGCAACGGAATGCAGGAAATTTTGCAAAGGGAGAACCTACAGGTTTATACATGTACATGTACACAAGTCGTACCACAACTTGACATCATCCGCTCATGCTGAGCCAAGAGAAAAAACACAGTCTTATGACCCGTGTCCGACTTGGACGGGCTACCGATATGCACCTCAATGGAATAAAACCTCTCCCTGAAAAGAGGCTGGAACAACACTAATAGCAATACCAGTAATTGCACACACTGCACACCCAGCCTGCAGGATTGTACACATTCAAACGAAAATCCACCCTGGAGACTGCACACTGTGCACTCAGCTACATGTAAAAGTTCCATTCAAAGCCACCCTCTAGATGCTGTCCCCTGCTTTCAGTTTGGGAAAGTTTACATGAGCGAGTTTTCAGAATGAACACAATTAAATATCTCTGTCAGACTGAACACAATTAAAAATACAATGTATCTCCTTTGCTAAAAAAAAGATACAATTTACAAGTACATGTACATGTAACGGTACATGTAAATGAAGTTCATGGTTTGAATTAATCCCTGCTTCTTTGATGAACTTTGTGTGAGTGGCCAGCCAGTAAAAAGTTGAAATGCAAAAAGTGCCCATACTTTTGTCAGAACAGGTGTACAAAAAAAGCTGGAAGTTAAGGTCAACATCTAGACCCAAAAAAGCTGAAATCAGCTAAAAAGCCGAATTCTCACACCACTGAGGTTCAGCTTTTAATGAGGGGCATAATCATTTTATTACCTCGCCATAAGAACCCTGTTGTGACAGGTTGCAACTTTATTGAAGTTGCTAAGAAAGTGGAGAGTGTGGTCCCTTAAATAAATGGGGCACTATGGGCCTAGGGCAAGGCAGAAGACAGCTTCATTCAAAAAGTTATAAAAGCGTCAGCAAACAGAATCTGACCTACTTGTGCACAATTAATCGTCCAGAGTTTAAGTAGTGGCGGCTAACTGTTCTCTGTTGTGTAAAAACTTTGGATGAACTCACACTGAACTCAGTCACAGACAAATCTACTCTTGGAATAATTCAAGGGATGTGTGCGGATGGCAGCTCCTTCAGCTCCCAAATTACATGTACTGGTAGGTAAATAAGTAAACAAACGATTCAAAAAATTTCAAATGTGCAAAAATTGTTGTCCTTTACAGGTACATATTGCACAATTATGAGACTTCTTGTGCAACTACAAAACTGATTTTTTTTTTCAAACAGCGTATCAAAACCCAATTTAAGATTGACATTAAAGCTATAAACATTATTTATGCAATACCATATTACAGATTATACAGACCTTTGGAATTGCTTGTGTTTATTCCTTCACAAGACAGACCTTCCTCCAAGAGTTTTCCTTCAACTTCCACGTTTCCAAAAGCAAACTGAAAAATTATCGCTCTATAAGAAAATGTCTTCCCTTCAAAAGCACACACCAGGATGGTTCTCAATGGAACTTTGGTGAAATTTCTTGTTGAGGGTAACGTAGCAGGCTCTCCAATCCTCCTCGCAAGACAGTGACTTGCAAACTCACTTCTGGCAACTGTGCATTAGAGTTCTCTCCTTTTGAAGGGATCAGTAGCCATGGAAAAATCTACTGACTGTATCACAGATTACTAACAGAAATTTCCTTCCGGAGAGAAAAAACCAAAAGGAACTAAGTAAGCTCCGCCCCTTCACTTTGGGAGAAAAGACAGTTATTGATGTGATACTGGTACACACTTCGTATGCACATGTGCATTGCATAGCTCTCAAAGCTACAGTACAGTACAGTACATGTACAGTAAATGTATGCATGAGTACCACACTGCACTGCATGTTGGCCCTGGTAATCAGTGTACATAACACAAGTACAGTAATCAACACTAACAGGAACATATGTACCGGTATGCAAGTCCCGCCCTCTCATTTGCATCTTTAACAGCATTAGCCAATCACTGAAGTCACAGCTCCTTCATTAGCTGGACTTCACCAAGTTTCATGTGTCACAGCAAGGATTGAAGCTCCTCCTCCTCCTGGTTACTACTGACCAATCAGAGGAGAGCTGGGTGGGTGACTAGGCACAGGGGAGACTCCCTCAGACTGCTGTGGGAGATTTGGTTCAGTTTGGGGATCATTTATGGGTGCAACTGCACTTGGCTGGGGATTCCACGGAAAGTAGGAAATTTGGGAAGCACATTTTGTGGAGAGGACTTAGAGAACTGCTGTCAGTGAGTCTACAAATGGCCTTGAGAAAAGTTGGATAGGGAAAGTCCATAATTCATGGAGAGTCATGTGGCATTTGGAAAAATAAAATCAACCTGTATTACATGCATTTACAGTCCATGAGACAAACGTGGATTCTAAAAGCTTATTGGAAGTGCCAAGTAATATCCATACAGAGGTTGTTCATGTGACGTATTAGTAACATGATTGACAAAGGCATTACAGGAAGCGTACCATGTCCGTGGAGGGGCATGCATTTTTTAATCTGGGTACGGTACATGCCCATGTATTTCTGTTGGCAATTTCATGTACACTAGAATGTTGCAAGTCTTCGAAGGCGCACATGTTTCCGCACACAGCTACTGTACATGTATATAAACTGAATGCTGACCATCAAATCATCACATGGCTGATATACATGTACATTTAGAAATTTAAGTTACATACTGGACATGTATACATGTATATGCAAATACTTGTACGTGTACGTACTGTACTAAAGTTATAAAAAGACAATGGTGATGTGGGTCCCTGTTCTATTCAGTTATGGACATTTAAGAGTGAGATACGAGATATCTCTGGAAAAATTACTGCTACATTCCTTACTATAGAAGATGAGCAGCAGAGAGGTTATAAGTGCCAGGTACCAGGTACATGTACTAGTACATGTACCGGTCCCCGTATGGCACCCTGGAAAGAAAGATTCCACAAATGAAACCACAGACCTTCCGATAAAGACTTTACGCACTTTCCAAAAATATCAAGGGTATACCGGTATTAACAACACTTCCACATCAGCCTATGATTGCCAGGTTGTAATATCATTCAGAATGTAAGGTTTGTGCCAAACACAGAAAAAATACTGACAAGAATATAATATCAAATCAGTGCTCTGAAATATGTGATTGCCAGAGCACTGATTTGATATTATATTCTTGTCGATATTCTGATTACGCAGCCCTTCCATACTACACAAAAATACTGGTATTTATGTAAAATTGTGAGCAAATGAAAGGTTGTGTAATATTTGAGAACAAGTACAAGTAACTGAGTTGTCCACATTGTTGCACTGGGGAGAGGGAACCCCTCGCTGGGCCCCATAACATGAATGACTAAATGCAGCAATGACTTCATCCGTGTACACGTGTACCTTGCACTGCCTGCTTCCTTGTGATTAAAACAGCGAGACTCAGTGACTGAGGCTGTGATAATCCATGTTGAGGGCCAGTGTACTCTTGCGGTAATTAAAACCGAATTCAAGGAGCTGGGGTAAGGTCAATGCAATGAAAGCTGTTTTAAACACGACACACTGGTGACAATTAAAAAAAAGAATTTAAACAGCAACAGATCACATAACCTTAACTCCCTACCGGTGGGGTGTACTTAAAATCATATTGAAATGGGAGGCTTGACTGTTAGGGTAATGTAGAAGGCACAAGTACGGTACATACATGATATATGATATCTGATGCATTAATGGGGTTTCATATCTCCTCCGCGCATGAGTTGAAGAGGGCGCTTTGCAAAGAGAAACTGGCTCCCTGTGAGGGGACTGAGACTTCCCTTATGACAGTGACTATTTTGCTGTAAGCTAAACATACATATATACAGGCCTACATGTAGCCTGCAGTTTTGTTTTTTACTGGTTCATTTGTTTTTTTAATTTGTCTGTTTTTTTTTTTGGAATTGAATAAATTGTTGTGGTTTCAAAAAATAAGAAAATTTCAAAAATAAATAATAAAAAATAAATATCAAGATTTTCATTAATTTAATGCTTATCAAAATGGATGGGGGAAAAAAGGGAAAATGTATTCAGGACCTTAAAAGCAGAAACATCAACTTTTTCTCTTAAGTCACGGTCGTGGTTAATGATAAATCATCTGCTAAGGCAATCTTGTCTGATCTTTTCATCTTCCCCTGTCTGGCTGCCGACAACAGGCCAACAGCCCAGAGAAAAATCACTGCCAAGTACAAGTATGACTTCTCAGACACACATACATGTACATGTACCTCATGAGACAGTACAGTTGGTCCCACTACTTAACGTGACGCACTTCCAGCTAGGTTTAGCCAGCCAAGGGAGTGTGGGATAGAAGCAAGAAAAAAAAAAAGTTGAAATGACAAAGAAAATTCCAACCTTTGAATGAAGGACCCCTTGAGAAAACTCCTATTTTTAGGTATTGTTAACGGCTTGGCGGCTAGACTAGGTGAAGAACACTGCATCACCGATCACCATAATGGAACAGACTCTCCATGCCAGCCATTGCTTTAATATCACAAACATGTCTCTAGCAAACGATCACTGAAATACACCTCAGTTTCACAATTGCTGAGGTTTGCTTTGACTTGTGGCTAACTGGTAACTGATGTTAGATACTTACCGGTACATGCCCCATGGTGGGTGTTTGGATGTGAACCCCTCCCAAAAAGTAGGCACTACACCTGAAATTCTCTAACCAACCAATTTCAACAAGCAGGAACTTCCGCTTAGATCTTGCCAATTTCATTTCTGCACTTGTTCCAATCCTGTAAAACATAAAACAAGGAAATTTTACACAATGTTAATTTCATTTATAGATTTGAGACGTGGTGGTCGAATGAGATGTCCTTGTCTAGTTTCAATAAAGTATTTTTTACAGGCAAATATAATGAACTCAACTTCCTCAGTCATTTTTGCTTGGAATCTCCAAGGGGTACTGGTAGAAATGTGAAATGTTGAGGGTGTTGCGCCCAATGTAAAGTTACAGTGATTGTACTGTACATGTACTTTCCTAAATCCAGCAAATTCCTCCAAAATCTGGAGGATTTTTAAAGATCTAGGAGGGGCAGGGTTAAACACATGCATGTATGGTGAGACATTTCGTTTCTCCGAGTTTACAAGCAAACAATACACTTACTCCCAATAATGTTAGAGTTGACGGATGTTAAGACAAGGACAACAAGTACTCAAATCATAGCCATCCAAAAAGTCAACTCCATCATTCATTGAAAGTATCCAAACTAATCTTCACGCCACACACAGACAGGTGCGTGTCATCGTTTTCAAAACCTAAGTCCTTCAAGACTTACAAACACACAAGTAGGCAAATCCCAAGAAAAATACTTGCAGATAAACCCCCCCTCAAAAGTAGGCCTACCAGTACAATGTGTAATTCCCCATTTCTGCTTCCGGCAATTCAGAACAAGCATTCAATTTGTGGTACCAACGTCTCATCTTTTGGATGCAAGGGACACTGAGAAGAAGAAGCCATACAACGAACCCAGGTTGGGAGAAAAAAATTAACAAGGCTCTTGAAAATCACCAGGCCAGAAAATTGAACAGAATGCAATTGAAGTGTGATAATGTAACTGCATAGCCAACAGAAGACTTAAAAGTCATTGATTTCATAACCACCGCAGACGGGTGATATGCAGTGCTCACTGTTCCGGAGATGATTTGTTTATTTCCGTCGGGAATTTTCAAGCCATTGTTGAACAATTCTGTCATATGTATTCTGGTGTTAAGCCGTGACCAAGGCCACCTATTTAGGGTTTTGGGGGGAATGGGGTAGAATCTATCTACCGGTAGGCTAGTCTTGTTAAAGCCCTATGTACGAGCCTTTCTAAAGTCTCCAGTATGGAGATTGAAAATTAAATAACAGTTTGTTTTCAGGTGATGTATGTTCACCCACCGCTGCCGGTGCACCACTGAGTTAATACACGGGTTTGTATGGGGTCGCGCATGATGGGCGAGTCGCGTTCTAGTCGTGTCTACTACGACTACGGCTTCAAATTTTTATCAAATGGTGAAAAGCCATAGCCAGTGTTCGATACTACTTGTTGCAGTGTCACATGGAGACGCTGCACAGCGTGTCGCCAACATGGCATACACAGCGTGCAACATAAACCATTGAAAATATTTCCTACAGGTATGTCCCCTCCTTCCTCCTTGGTTGTTAGTAATTTCAACACAGCATTAATGGAATTCAGTATACAAGGCACTTGTGAAAAACATTTTGAGCTGTCTTCGCCAGGTAAAAATGTGAGAAAAACTTTTGAACAAAATTTCACAGAGTAGGAGGACTTTAGTTCTATACCCTGGACGTTAGTCGAAACTTAATGCAAATTGCTATGTAGACGTCGTCCAACCTGGGCTAGGCCTACATGCCCCAGGCCAACTTTTTTTTTTAAGAATATAGGGCCTGGGCCTAGTTCCCTTTCACAAATAACTACCTTTCGAGCATGGTGGCAGCTGCAGCAGGGCAGTATCAATGGAAAGCAACAAAAGTAACACATCCTTTCAGGCAGCGCCTGCGGCCTGCAACAGTGTGGGCCTCTGCTCTTTCTACGGCCATTTTGAACTTGTCCATGTCGTCTGCTCGCTCTGAGCACGTGCCGCGCGCACACACAAAAGGCTGGCTAGCTGGGCCCGAGTGCCTTGACGAGCCGAGAAAAAGTACTTTCTGTTTTCATTCTTTTCGTGAGTTTACGCAATAAAATAACTGTTCACAAATGGAGCAGATAGTGTTGTTAATCAGAAAATCATGACTGTGGATATCCATACTGGCCTGACTGGCCTGACTGACCTGAGGTTTTCTTCAAAACCTTTGAAAAATTGCACTCAGTTCGCAGAGTCCGCACGTCACGCGCACCAGCACGGCACGCGCGTTTTATGTTGATTAACTTCAGAGGGCGCTATTTACAAAAATCAAGGTAATAAAAATTCTCACGTGCGAATGCCATGTGGCGCTGTTGCGCGCGCGAGGCCGTTTTCATATAACTCTATGGAGACCAACCACGGATAGATACGTGAGGGCAGTGAGTGAAGTAATAAGTGAAGCAAAATGAAAATCGTATCAACCCGGGGGGGGGACAATTATGCCCGGCAAACCCTCGCGTGTGAGAATGCAAGACATTGTCGCCAGGGGCTGTGTTTGAATAATGTGATATTTACCTTCTCTTATTTACCCTCAACAAAGCATTTTTGTTAGGTTTGGAAGTTTAATGTTACTTTCAACTGTTTACTTTTTCAATTAAGGTGTCGGCAGGTTCCAACTGCATCAGAGGAAGTTTTAATGTAGTCGGCAAACACCTTTCAAGTATATTACTTTTAGCACCTAATCAATGCTAACTAATACACATACTTGGGAATCTTCTACTAAGCAAGCTAGCAGGGGTGCATCTGACAAGACAGCAATAGACCAGATTTACTCCCTAAAAAGTGAAATGAAAATTGAAATTGTCTTCTAGTGAGACGTCTCCTTGAGAAGCCTCCATTCTCTTCAGGAATGTTTGCTGAAGCGACTTTTGTCTCAGGGGATTCGACTCCAGGAATAAAGGAACATGAACACCTTTTGTTTCAAATTCAATGAATGCAAGTTTTTTTTTAATTAAATACTTTGGCCTCAAAACTGAAATCAGAACTGTTGCAATCTTATTTCAAAGATTAACCATAATTTCATCCAAAATATGCACATTAAACATCCTTCTGACAGCTGTAACATTATGTAATCTTAATAACAATAACTAAGTTTAATTTTTTAAATAAACATTTGAGATGTTCCAGTTTGGTACAATAAACAAAGTAGTTCACAAAGGAAGAACAGATTCACTGAATTTCTCTGCAATGCTGACCCCACCTGACCTCGATCATTCACTTATTGTTCAAATCCACTGTAAAACAAAGATATATTGTGAAACTTTTAAAAACTTGAAGCTTTGAGACCCCTGTCACAACGTCACTTGCCATGTTTTGCTCGTGCCCTCGTTCATGCCCTCAAAATCACTTTTGGTGTTGTACTTGCTGAATAGAAAAAAATAATTCTGATATCTGTAAAACTGTGATACCTTGAAGCACCTTTGCTAAACATAATTGCGGAGTTGCTATGACTATAATGAGGCATACACAATTCTACAGATTATTCTGAAAGACCTATCATTGACGGCTACACATTATGTGTATAAGGCTGTTTATAAAGGGTAAATAGATTTACAAATTTGTTGAGAGCATGAACCGTCCCTACCGTCCATCCTGCTGACATCCTACTGTGATTTGTATAATTTAAACCTCCAAGTCATAAATATCCTCAAATGCAACCAATATCTTTGACTGCACTCTCCATCTCAACCATGCCCTCCTCCAAATTCCCCGCCTTCCTTCAGTGGGAGGAGTAACTTTGCTGTTACTGTCACCTTCAGGCAACAACTGGTTCTCCGTCTGACACCTGAAGACAATCCCCTGTCCCTTGTCCGCACCCTCATCCCTGATGACAATGCCTAGATTCCCAGCGCCATCCCTCTCAACCTCATCTGCGACGGTGACCTCACCCTCCTTGGCCCCTCCCACATTTGCAACCGAGGCCTCGCCCTCTCCTCTCTCACCCTCAGCTGTGACGACCAAAGCCTCCCTGTCCTTGCCCTCCTTTGTTCCACCTATATCTGTGATGACGACCCCACCTTCCTTGGCCCCTTCCTCATGTGCGACCACACCCTCGCCCTCTCCTGTCCCACCCTCAGCCGTACCAACCGTCTCCCTATCCTTGCTTTCCTTTGTCCCGCATGTATCTGTAATGACAACCTCACCCTCCTCTGCCCTGCCCACATCCGTGAGGATGGCTTCACCTTCCACAGCCCCTCCCCTGTCCGAACTGAGGGCTCCACCCTCCCCTCGCACCACTTGGTTTCTCTCAAAGTAATACCCCTCTACATCCCCTCCGTCCAGAGATTGCCTCACGTTGTCAGCAAACTCCTCCTCGTCCATTCCGGGGCCAATGAGGACATTCAAAGGGTCCTCCAGGTTGGGATTGTAGAGGAGAAACAGGATGCCCTGCACCACATCCTCAAGGGTCATTGATGCTGACCAGTTATCATCATCAAGCAAATTGAGGCATATCTCCCCATCACCTTCGATGGTGTCAATGTTGGGATGGTAGATCATTGTCTTGCAGGATACAGAGGGTGACTGAGCTGGGTACTTGTTGCCGCACACAATCTGCATATGATAAAGAAAAAGAATCATAATTGAATGAAAAATATGAACAGTTGAATCTTTGTGTTGGGCACAATCTTTCTACATGCACGATCCATCGATTTTTGTCGGATAGGTAAATCATACCATCATACTGCAAAATGCGTTGCTGATTCTGCCATCAGCAAATCGCCTTGTCTTTCTAATTTACAGTTGTGGAAAACAGTTTCAAACAAAGGAAGTAAAATTGGAGGTTTTGTGGGGAATCAAACGCAAACTGGGCGATCATGCAGATCAGTTCATAACACCCAACTGCCCAATACACTACTTACTTGAGAAAAAGAAAAAAAAGGACTCTTCTTATTCTAATATTGAACATTTACAACTTCTTTAAAATTTGAAACCAACTGCAACAGCAGACTGTTTTCAGCAAGGTTTAAAAATACATGGCTACTAGTACTAACTGCTTATTGAAAGGAAAGCAAATCCTAAAAAGATGAGGTCCTAGCATTTTTATCTTATATTCCGCAGCCAACAACTGCCATTAAAAGGCTAGGTTTTCTTCGTTTTTTCCTCACCGAGAACATGAACTCTCCATCCTGGTAAAGCCCACTGTCTGGGATGATAGACACTGTGATGCCTTTCTTGAGATCTGTCTCATCCCAAGACACCAACCGGGCCTGGCCTCCCGACATACTGGCGATGTTCCTCATCAGACGGTGAAAGTCCTTGGCCAGGCTTCGGCCGGCCTGGCACTTTCCATTTCCCTCGATGGCCATGGCGACGGTGTTGCTTCAATCAATTTCTTCCAAATAGACACTTGCCAAGTGTGTTTTTAATTTTCAGTCCTCAGACAACGCAACTCAGTCTCTGCCAAGATAGCGAAGTCCTAGTCCCTCGAATTCAACCAGGCTCGCCTCTGAGCATAATATCTGTGCCGCTCTTTTTCGGCATTTTCAACAGCTTCTCGCTGCAATAACTACGTCTAGTCTGCTGTCTATGCCATCGTTGTTGGATTCCGTGTCATGTTGTTGCGTCAGCGTCGAGCGTTTTTATAGCCTGTGAACCATCTTATTGCACCACCACAAGCCAATACACGTGTTTACAAGTTTCATGTTTATTTGGGGGAGACACGCACTACGTCATTGCATTACATCATTCTAGCGACAAAAATAAAATGCTAAATGAACATGTATTCATTTGCTGTTACTTACACAGTGAGATGTTTTGTATTAAGCGCTTTTGAAATCATAAAAAAATAATTTTTGTCAAAAGAATCTTCTTTAGGTGTATTTGCTACTTTTCTGCGAAAATATTTGAGGCTTAAATATTAAAAAGATTAAAACTATTGACGAAGGATGTAAGGAGGAATATTCCGACCTTTGACCTATTGAAAGCTGTTGCCCTTCCGCTTTGTAATGTAAGTTTGTGCCCTGTGTTATTTTGCAACCTTTTCCGCATTTATCGAAGTACTTCCCTCAGTGTGCAAATAAAGAATCGGCACATAATTTTCTTCTAAATGGACAATAGTAAATTAAATGACAATTCAGACATGAGTAGGCCAGTACTGCCAGTTTCCGGACATGTATTGCTAACGCTCGTTAGCATGATTAGCCCTGACGGTCGACGGGCATAGTCCGCCTACTGCAGTGCTATTACTAGCTCTAGGCATGCGAGGAGTTGGACCCTACATGCCCAACAAATCGCCTTTTTCTCAAACATTTGGACACTATCGCCCGACAATGTCCAAATGTTAAAAAGGCAATTTGTAGGATCCAAGTTACTCGGACTACGTGAGACCATGTTTTGCTGGACAGTGATAACTCAAACATGTCAAAACAGAATCATGGAAGGGAAGGAGTTCCAGTTCCACATACGGCATTTTGTACGGACATGACAGACAAACGCTAATTTTCCTTTAACACATTATAACAGCCATCAGAAAGTGATATCATGTGAAATTTAGCCAAGTAAATTCCGAAGCATTTACTCAGAAAACACTTTGGGTTTTTAGGTTTGTGCACAGGGCATCAGGTGTTGTCTGTATATAATGGAACACTTTCCTATAAGCCTTATTGCTAATACCGCATGGCTGTGGAAAGGCATTGTGGGAAGGGAAGAGGGGCAAACATTTTCCTTCCCATGATGCCTTAAGACTTGTGCAAAATCACTTACAGTATTAGTGATAAGGCTTATGGAAGTTTTGGCAGCCTAGTCCTAGTTAAACTCCACGAACATGGCAGAGGCTAGTCCGAGTAACTTGGACCCTACAGATCGCCTTTTTTTAACATTTGGACACGGGTGATAATAAGGTCCGAGTTATTTGGACTAGGCAGAGGCTAGGCATGCCGTGATTTCCACTATCGCTGAGGAATAGTTGGAAGAAAGAGCGTACTTTGCAGACGTCAAATTGTCTACTAAGCTTATAAATTTTACTGAAGATTTAGGACAATTTAATGCAATTATGAAACTTTCGCAGCATTAACAATAATTTGCTGATTTGACAAAATATTGCTCAGGCCCTGGCCCCTCTAATGTCACTGGTTGTGATGATGTGAATAATAATGTGCATATGTGTATGCAGTAGCTTATGGATTCTAAATAAACCTTTCCAAAATTATTCGGAATCCTACAGAAGTGTAAAAACCTGACCATGCCGTATTTCTTATCGCCTTTTCCCCATAGATTTATGTTTAAAAACTATAAAAAACGGCGATCCAACCATCAAGCAAGCCCAACTGACATTGACATCCATTGTAATGAAGCCATGGCCGAGTCTTATCCGCATCAAGTTGACGACTTGGACTCCGACCGAGGATTGAAACGGCCCCTGGAGACTACAAGCACTAGTGCCAGTGACGACTCAGCCGACGAGTTCTGCAGTCCAACATCCCCAAAGCGACTGAAGTTTGATGACTTTGGTGAGAAATATCATGCCTCATGCCCTGTTATTTAGCTTAGGGAAATGACCAGCCATTCTAACTTTTTTATCCTTGAGCAGACGGAGATAAAGTGCATGTAATGGCCTTGGAAAATGTAAAATGAACCAGTGGACTGACATATACTGAAAACTAGAAGTAAACTCGCAGAAGAAAAAGAAAAACAGATAGAACAAATGGCAAATTGAAGGAAAGGAGCTACCTCGATAATTGGAGACAAGGTTTGAGGGCTGTTTGGGGCAAAACATTTTACACCTTAATCTGAGCCAGTCTGTTGATGACAGTTGGCCATCTCTCCTAGCCATTGGCACAGACAGCCCACCAGAGCCTCGTGGCCTCCTCTCCCCACTCGGTGACTTCAGCAGTGCAGGCCGACTCAAAGACTTGGTCCTCCCAGCCAGTAGTCATGAGCAGGGCACGGACGACGCCACCGAAGAATCTGCACAGAGTGATCAGCCTCAGCCGGACCCTACCAAAGAGAAGGAATCGGAAGGGCAGCGGCTGGGTCCCGGAGGGTCGAAGGAAGGGGAGCCAGAAGGGGACCCAGAAGGGGACCCAGAGGGGGACAGAGAGGGGGACAGACCAGCCGGGCCACGGTTGGAACGGTCCCTGAGCGCCGTCGAGGAGAGCAAACTGAAGGAGCAAATAGAAGAGGAGATGAGACAGAAGAAACAGTTGAGTTGTGGTGCTCCCAAGATCTTAATATGGCAATTCACAATGCAGCGACTATCTTTTGAAGTTTACTGTCTACAAAAATGAACAAATTTTCTTGTATCAGCAATAAATTTATCAGTTACAAAAGCACGGCTGACTTGCCACAGTTTGCATTTCAAGGAATTTCAGTTGGCAGATAATGGGATACTAGAAATGCACTTCCAAATCTACCGAGACAAAGTTGTCACAAAATACATGGAAGTGGCATCATGTTTAAAGATGTTCTTTGAAGTTGTATATATTTTGAAAAACATTCAGAACGTACTGTCACCATTCGAAAATTTTCAGTGTCCATGTATTTGTAGCGAGTTACAACCAGTTCAAGAAATCTCTGGGTTCAGAAACTATTGACGTGGCAAATTCAGTTTACCAGCCAAACTTGTCATGGTGTGTGTGCTTGGCTTGTGACTGGTGCCCAGCTAAATTTTTTCACCGCACAATGAAGAGTCCTGCTTTGATTGGTGGACGCTCTATTTGTTGTGCCAGGATCTTGGTGGATTCCCTTTCCGAAGCACAGCTGAACAGGTACGAAGTGTACAGGAGGTCATCGTTCCCCAAGGCAGCCGTCAAAAGGGTGGGTTAATCACTTGAAATTGAGGTCATTGTAAGCACGGCCAAGTTGCAGAAATCAGGACTGACTAAATTTGAATGCTTCAGTTTGTGCAGCCTTAAACTCTACTTGACAACCTTTTGCAATTGCCCAATTGCCAATTCATTTTTCTGTATCGTTTTACTTTCAATTCTGCTCAATTGTACAAACTCTGACTCTTTTGCATTTGAGCCAAAATCTTGTTTCTTGGGTAAGCATACTGGGCAGTGGCCCAGCTACCCTCAAATAGAGTACATGTATATGAGACAATCAAGACTGGGAATCCTCCATATTTTCAACTCAAAGAGCCGTTGGGGACTTTAGCCAACATTCTCACTGGAAAAGAAATTTTCACAGAACACCACAATCCCTTTAGCTTTCCATGGTCATTTTTGACGTTCAAAACATCCAACTTGACTTTTTTCTCTCCCTTTCAGTACATGCAGTCCATCACAGGGTGTAGTGCCTCGCACAACGTTGTCATAGCAATGTCAGGAATCGCTAAGGTGTACGTTGGAGAAATTGTTGAAGAAGGTAAGAATATCTGAAATTAAACCGAACTTACACTATGCCTCAAGGACTATTGGTCCCTGCACACCGAGAAAACCTTTCAGTCTCTTCATACGTTGTATCGTTTTGCTCGTATCTGGCAGAAGAGTTGAAGAATTCTCGAACTGGATAATGCTGTTCCAATATGTTGCAGAGGAATGCCTGGAGCAGGTGACTCACAAGCCTGCAAGTAAAGTTCTAATAAGTCTTGAATCAAGACTATTTGTAGTCTCCGTTCAAAGATGGAGAATGTTATTTACTGGTTACGTTTGCAATGCTTTTTTGTCTCGTGTACGATAGCGTTAGACGTCCTGGAGCAGTGGGGTGACACAGGACCGCTGCAGCCCAAGCATATCAGAGAGGCCGTGAGGAGGCTCAAGTCCCAGGACAAAGTGCCGACCAAAAGACACAAGCCACTGTTTAGGTAGCAGCTACTGGCCTGAGCCGTAGCCATAGCCTGGTTTTTAGTTACCCCATCAGAGTGCAGCTGCAGCTTGGTGTCATTTTATCTACAGTTGCTTTGCTCTGGCCAGGAGTGGACGAGAGCGTAGTTTTCTCATTTGGAAACCTTGCCTGAGTAGGCCCGCACGTGCACCACAGAGGGCGTTCCTCGGTACGAGGAAGGCTCAGTTCTTGTGCTTGATTTCAGTCGAGATGTTTAGTTGGTGCTTTTACCCCACTGTGTACCCTCTCGCAAATGAAATTAAAAAAAAAAATGTTAATGAACGAAAATACGAACAAAAAAGGGAGAAATGGGGACGATAACACCAAATTGCTTGAAAATTCCCCGGAGTGAACCCCTTCAAACGGGGGTCGGTCAATTTGCTGCTGCAAAATGCTTTACCCAACCCCCCCTCTAACGACATCCATGATACATGAAACACACCTTTTGGTGACAACACATACACCTGCTGTGACACCAAGACTCAAGAAAAACTCTTCCTCACACTGGCTAGCTAATGTCTTGGGTTTTACTCAGGGTCACACCTGCTTCAGTTTAATAATTTTTTTCAAGATCACTACGGTGACACCCACTTTTCTCAACCACTCCTACTCACAGGATACATAATGTGACAAAATACTCTCCTGATTGGCTTGGACAATCATACATATTCATGACAACATACGACTCTGAAAGCTAATTGGCTACTTCTAGAGTACAGTGTATGATGACTATGCACTCTGGCCTAGGTGAACCTGTACATGTCAAATGTGAACTGTTATAGTAAAAAGCAGTTATTTGCAAAGAAATCTCTCTTGCATTGAACTATGATGTAAAGGACTACTTTCAAAATGTCTGTCCCTGCAAAGGTTGTATCTCAACACTTACCACCGAAACGTGACCGGCTCCCTCAAAATGGGTCAAAAGGCCATATTTTTTAGGTCATGGTATTTTCCTGTAGTTTGCATGAGAAAAAGCAAACTTGAGTTCTCTGGTCTGATGTTTCACCCATTCTGACATCTTGACCAAGACGGGCAAAAAGTGTTGCGGCTTCTACTGATTTACTTACACATTGCAAGATTCTCTCAAAAATGTTTCGCTCCAAAGTTGTTCTGGCACTTTGCGCCCCATTTTGTCAGGATGGGTCATAATTGTAGTTAATCATTTACACGGAGTTCACTAATAAATGAATAAATAATTTAAATGCACTTTGTGATTACTTGACTGAATTACAGGGCTGATGCACGAACACATCTCATTGGCATTTGGATAAAAACTTTCCTTTACAATTTGATCAATCAATACAACTCCACAGAGTGCAGCACATACATGTACACTTTTTTGGCAAACTGCAAAAAAAAATCCAACTTATTTTTACTAATTGCACTGAGCTAGCAGAGAAGTACAGGTGCACGCTTTCTACGAGCAAATGGCCAGTGATGATGTGATCTGCAGTGTGCATACATGTGTAATAAATCTGAGTGTACTTGCGGTTGAACACAGTTTAAAATAAGCCTCCAATGCAATACCATTATGATCAAATGTTCTTGACTTCTATATGTTGACTTCCTAAGTCGAGAGAGTAGGCAATTACCCCCTTCCGGATCCAGCGGGTGCTGTTGGCTAATTCCCGCCGCTGATATCTCAAATATCCCTTTGGTTCTTGAAACGAGGTATTCAAATGTTACCAACTGTTACTTCAGTCTGGTATCCAGAGTTAATGAAGCGTCTCCCTGGCTCTTGATTGATACATCTATAAGTCCGTATAATATGTGTCTTACCCCCAATAATTCTGTGTTCTTGACGCTATTTTCTCGCTGAGTGTATGCCTCATAGGTTTTCGCTGAAGAAATTGAAAATTGAACTTTGCTGTAAACAGAGGCATTTTTGTTATTTCAAGTGACAAATGAATGCACTGCTCACGCGCATCCCATTGGAAGAAAACTACACGTGTGTTCCTCCAAGATGGCCTTCATGTAAACCATCTATAGACTAATACAGCAACCAGGAATAGAGGCCATTATTGCAAAGACACCACACTTGAATGCAGGTAGTACATATGTACCTACACTGTGTTATAACTTGATCAAATGTGTGCAAGCCTCCAGATTAAGAATGCAGTCGAGTGTGATGTCACCATGGTAACGGTGTCTCCTTGGGTCAGTCCATACAACTTGCTAATCGTGCAGGTAAACACTCACATAGAAATCTTTTCTGCCCACAAACAAGTGTAGACTGCTGTCGTCAACTTCATTTTGAAGAGCGTGAGTGGTGAGTGCAGGTACCGTACAATGCCACAAGAACAGATACGAGAATGGGTTCTCTGCCATGAGTAAGTTTTTTATGACTAAAATATTCAAGTACAAGACTGAGAATGAGTACTTTCGAGTATGAGTACAAATACAGCAAATTACTCAAGTGCAATTAAGAGTAATTTGCCATTAGTTATATGGCAAAATACTTGAATATGAAAATACTCGAGTATGAATGAATACTTTGCTATGAGCACAGCAAAAATACTCAAGTACTCATGTGAGTGCTTGCTATGAGTGCGAGAACAAAGATGCCATGAGCATGACTATTACAGTCCTAACAGGCTCTTCCCATTACTGATCTCACCATCGACTGCTCTCGAGGCTGAGATACTTTAGAAAAAATAATCTCTGAATCGGCAAACCGTCTTGAGAAAGGGATTCCTTCTATTTTTTAAGTAAGAGACTACAGTGATAACCAATTTTCCCGACAGTTCCACGAAAAATACTCTCCAAGATTTTTGTCTGTTACATAATTTACTGCTTTAAACTCAAAAACAAAAATAAACTATCTTTATAGTGTACACATTTATACATTTTTGTATATGTTGGTCCCACAAGCATATCCTCTCAGAGTTCCAAAGCTACTTCAATAACGCATCTTGAATATAAATACTTATGGTATACCTGCCAACTAAAGTCAACCCAGGGGTGTACAAGTTGGTTTTTAAAAAAAATAACGAATGTCTGAAACAACAGATTTACGCATTGTATTTGAAACAAAATTGACCAATGTTAAGAAGAAAGAATGGCGCCATCTTGACAAGCGCACAATCCAAGTTTCAAATCTGTCTGGGCTTGGCACATGTCCAAGAGGATCAACACACCTGTCCAGTGAAATGGTTTGCCCCTTATCACTGCTTGGAAAAACCGCTGAATGAAAACAAAGGTCATTGCCCACCCAAACGTGTATGGTTGTGCTTGCCTCACAAGGATGACACACGAGTCAATCTAAATGCCCCCTTTTTTTCCCACAAGGTCAACTGCATGTATTGTAACCGAGGTCACAACCAGTTTCAAGGACAGCAAATTATGTCTCTACTTTGGTAATATTGAACACAATCTTCTTCATACACTCAATATGCTGTCTCAAAGGCAGGAACATGAATGAAATGTGGAGTTTTTTAATTGACGCTAAAACAATAAATACATGTACATGTATGTAACTTAAAAATAGGCTAAAGTGTGTAGTGTTGTATATATTTTTATATATATACAGTTTTTAAATATAGGTTCATCTTTAATACTGTATATGCACATTTCTTATACGATTTAACGAATAAAAATTTGATAGACTTTAATTCTTTTTTTCTGCTTTATGATCATGAAGTAAGGTTGTGCACATTACAAACAGCGACTGTTCTTGAAGTGATTACGGTGCCATGGAACCCTGGATGGTGACTTGGGGGAGGGGATTTGATCACACGTAGATCCCATCGAAGGGACAGTCTCTTAGAATTTGCAATGGAGCAATAGATTGGTACACGCAGCCTATTCAAAAGCTCCAGAATACAGCTGTGTCCAAATTAATCGAATGCGCCTGTGACAAAACACAAGTAATTAGGAAAGTGGCTGCATTTGGTAGCTGGGTGTTTTACTACCAGCCATAGCCGGAACATGCAGACACGGATTATGACAGCCATGGTGCATACTCCAAGCCGTATATGCGCATCGTGACAATTTTCATCTCAATGCGCACAAAAAAACACGCATCATCTACCATTGACAATGCACGGCAAGCAATAACACTCATTTGTCCACATCTTGAAGAAGCTGCGTCTAAATCTACTGGCTGTGCAGAAACTTATTTGCAGGTCGGTGAGAAGTGGCTGGAGCGGCTAGCCAATGGCTGCCATAGGGTCCCATGGGATTCCAAGCCGCAGCCACAATCACGTTGCTCTCCCACAAGGAGAGGATGAACGAGTCGGTTCCGTAGTCGGGATACAATGAGCCAGTTCGGTATTTCAACAGAGCAAGGTTATTCTGCAACAGAGCATGCGCAAGAGTCTGCCCAGGGCTGGCTCCGATAGGCAGACGCTTCATCTTGGGCATGCGCAGGAGTCTGCCCAGGGCTGCCCCGATAGGCAGACGCTTCATCTTGGGCATGCGCTGTTGGAATACCGAACTGGCTCATTCTGAGCGCCGGTTATGGAAATGACATCCTCCAAATCACCCTCCCCACTCCACAGTCGGGGTTTCCATGGGGACTGGGTGCAAGAAAGCACAAAATGGTTTAACATATTATTAAACTAAATTTCTGAATGTGATCTATGTTTCTTGAACAGTTCACAGCCGTTACTCTTTGAACATTCATTTCAGGTTGTTTGGAATGTCGAGTGGATACTTCCTACCCTCCGTTCAGCAAAAAAACAAACAAAAAAACATAAAAGTTTAACAAAACTCTACACCCAGTGACAAATGCAGCAAGTGCGTAGCACACAGAGCATTAAGTGCAATGCTAATCTCCAAAAAGCCATTCACATGGTGGAAACGTTGGATTTGAGGCCATGGTCTTGATTTTTTGTTCCTAAGCCAGGGCTATTTTACAGTGCAGTCTCCATAAGCTAAAACTAGAGGTTTGGGTTAAAATTGTGAAGGGTTTGCTAAGCAGATGATCCGGGGAGATGGGGGCGTTCCCCTCCCTCCCCTCAGCTCTCTTCTCGCTTTTGAAATGAACTACAAAATTGATCTTGTGCTCTAGAAATTCCAGTATTCCCTCTGCAGGCACGCAACTGTTCCTCGGATCAGCTGATTTCCTCATTTCTCACTTCACACTCATGCCGTTGAAAATTGAAAAACATTGTACAAAGCCTCGTAAAGATTGGAATTTCCTCTTTTTGGAGTCAAAGTCCAGGTTCCATGCCTGCCTCTGGCACAGGGAAAAAACGAGATCCAAGAATTCATATAAGCCTGCTGATCGGGTGCAGTAGTGCCATGTGAAGTGCTTTTTGATCGGGCATTGTCAAAGCGGAATCACAACAATCACTGGAATCAGAAACCGGAGCCCATCAGCCCAGGCCCCATGCTTCATCATATCCCTCATTTACAAAGTGTTAGTTCCCTTATAAATATTCATTATCCTCATAAATATTCATTATCCAAAGCACTGCTGAGTGCAGATTGCACAATTCAATGTGCAACCAATTTGCATTGTTCGATAAGATTCTATAATTAGTTGGCAAGTTTTACTCACATGAAACCTGTTTGAAATGGTGCCGAGTTGTAAAGCTGTAAAGTCCTCATTTTAATGTAATACGAAAGTAGAATTGGGAGAATCTATGTAATTATGGAACACCTCCCAAGCAACGACTGTCTACCATTCTGTGACTTTTGTTGATGTGTGGATTGCGTAGGGCAGTATTTCTTCTGCTCTCAAAATTCTCTGTTCCTAGCAGCAAAAACATGTACATGCTGATAGCAACTACAAGCTGACATCAACAACAAACTGGCTATCAACCACCAGCTGATATCAACACAAAGTT